AAGCCCCACACCAGGAGGATGAAGTTTGAATTCCTCCCCCTCCCTCCAACCCACACGTATTTTTTCCACCTGTTTCAGAGAGGATTTCAACTCTGCTCTTGCCTGCCATAATGAAAAGAAAAAAAATGTAAAAGAAAAAAGGCAAGAGCTGAGGTCAGGCTGAGCTAGTTGCTGCAGAGTCGCTGGGGATGACAGTGCTTAACAGTTTAAAAAAAGTCTCTAAAAAAGCGCCCTCTACAGGAGGAGACAGGAGAACCACGTGCCTCATCTACGTCAGGAATTTTTTGGCTTTTAACCCTTGCTTAACTCTGCTCAAGTGATCATAAAACGCCTAAAGTCAGATTAGATGGGTCACGTTGTTCTCCTGCCTCCTCCTATAGAGGGTGCTTTTTTAGAACCTTCTTTAAAAAGTTAAGCACTAAGCAGAGTCATCCACGGTGACTCTGGCAGCAACTAGCTCAGCCTGATCTCAGCTTTTTCCTTTTACATTTTTTTTCTTTTCGTGATGACAGTGGTGAGGCTCTGCCTCCCCTGCCTCCCCTGACTGCACGTCACTGCTACCTACGTACCTACCTACTCTCTCTCTCTCTCCCTACCTATCTAATGTATTTTTCTCTCTTTCTCTCCCTCTCTATCACTCTATCTACCTACCTACTTCTTTTAAAATTTGCCTCTTCAAAACCTTGGTGCGCCTTATACTCCGGTGCATCTTATACTCCAAAAAATACGGTGATTATCTTTTTTGTCAAAGTTTTAGTCTTCACTAGCATCTATTTTTTCCCATTTCTTCCCTGTTGGTATTGCTTCTTACTGTTATTTTCTTTCTCTTTCCAACTACCAATATGCATTTCTGTATTGTCTTTAATGAAATTCTTTGGATGTACCAGCTACTTTTTCTTTTTCAAAATGTTTGTTAACTACAATAATTGCTGAAGGCATTATATATTAAACAATAGATCCAGAAATTGCTTCAATCACCTCATTTGCTTTTTTTTTTTGTTGGGCACCAGTGGGTCAATGTAATTTCATGTGAATACTTTAAATTTCTTTAAAAAAATAAGAATAATCATGAAACAGTGCTGCAGAACTGCAGACCACTGCAGAAAATAAAAAAACAGAAGCTGATGATATGAAATACACCTGAAGTGAGCATAAATGATTTTGAACTATTAAGAACTCTATGCATATAATGGGCATGAGAAATTAAATAAATATTAGTAACAAAACTAAATCAACTATTTTGCACAACATATTTCATATACCTGAAATTAATAGAAATACGTACAGCTTTCTATTTCCAACGTACAATTTTGTTCATCTAATGGGTATCTCCTCAAGTCCATCATGCAAGCTGCAGTAGTTGTGATTCTAAAACAAAACACAATAAAATGAATTGCCACATAAACAAGGAACAATCAATAAAACATTTAAATAAATATTCTGAAATAAAAATAAGAGGCAATAATAGTAAGAGATACTAATTATGTACAGATACCTTTACTAGAGTTTAATGCTTTTCCTTCTGCACAAATACAAAAATGTGCATGAAATGCATTTTATTATATCTATATTTTCATTTGCTTTATCTAAAAGTTTTATTTTAGAAAGCTAGAAGTGCTAATAAACTGTTTTAGCTAGTATTGTAAATAGTAGCTATTTATTTATAGTTCATACATACTATTTTTTCAAATACTTTAAAAAAGTGGTTTCATTGAAAAAAAATTACACCGAAAGATTCTAAAAACACCAAGATTAGATTTCCAAGCTAAACAACATAATTAAGCAGTTTTCTAAATAAACATGGAATCGTCAAAGACAAAAAAAATGAAGGACAGGTTTTCTACATCTAAAAAAATAAGTTCTGAATGAGGCTGAGTACACAGTACCATCTATCACTATTCATTGATCTGCAGAGAAAACCAAATGTTGCTTTGGACCACAAGTTATCATATTGTTCTAAATTGGGATGTTTCGTTTCGTTTGTGTACATGCTGGAATAAGAGAAACAGGAATGTTTAAACTATGTGGAAACTAGGAGATTACACTAATTTGGATTTGATTTCAAAATCAATAAGAAGTGAAAATAGTATTTGTTTGAACTTGTCAACTGTCCCAACTAGGTCAGTTAGAAAAGAAAGGCTCTCGGATCCATTATTAACATAACTTTACTAAAGCCAAAGTGTCTACAATGAGGCAAAGCTAGATCTGAGATTTTCATCCACAAAACATGTGTTTAACTTTTCCCTTCTTCTCTCCTTGCCCATTGCTTATCTTGACCTGTCCAATTATATTTAAACAAATTCTTTTACTAGCTCCTGGCTTGGTAGGTTGGGTGGTGCTGCATTCCATGAGGTGACTTTGGAATGGCCAGCAGTTCTCACACAATGGCACAAGTAATTTCTATTCCTTTCCTGCTACCTCTCCTTATCCCACCCCGCAGTTCCCTCCCACTGTTGCTTATGGCCGACTGAAAGCAAGTGAAACATAGCTGGAGAAGTGGCAGTCCTGAAAGGACCTCACTAAAGTGGTGGTATTTTTACTCAGATTGTATTGGCAGCTATAGAACCTGGGAAAAGCTTAGGTGCCTTAAACAACTGGATTTGAATCTGAAATTATAGAAAGCCTGAAGCAGTCTTTCTCAACCTTGGTAAATTTAACAAGTCTGGACTCCTTAGCCAGTTAGGGAATTTGGAAGTAGAAGTCCAAATCTGCAACACATCTTAAATCAAGGTTGGTAAACCCTGGCCAGAAGTAAAGACACCTGTACTGCTGTTAAAAACAGCATAAGGTTTAAAATATTTAGGGTAAATATAAATGATAAAATATGACTAATATTCAGGGGTGGGTTTCAAATTTTTTTACTACTGGTTCTATGGGTATGGCTAAGTGGGGACATGTGACTGAGTAGGCATGACCAACTTGACATCACTCACGCCCATGCCCACTCAGTCATATGCCCTCCCCACCTAGCCATGCCCACAGAACCGGCGAAAATTTCTGTGTTGCCTGCTGGGTGGCTGGTAAAGAAGCCTTGCTTTCCACTCAGTGGCAAGTGATCCATTCCCCCCCCCACACACACAAACACACCCTCCCCATCTAGCTGCAGCTGGGAGTGTGAGCGTACATGGCGAGACACCTCTCAAGTGAGCAGCAAAGTGCAGCAAAGGCACATGTGGGGCAGGTGGCTGCTCACTTAAGGAGGGTCTTAGCAGGATGCAAAAGGATGCGGCTTCTCTCCTGCACTAAGGTTCTGGCTATCGCCTTGCCATGTTATTCTTCTTCCCCCATGAGAGGAGGAGGAGGGGAAGAGGAGGATGGTCGCCGGAGCCTTAGTGCAGGAGAGAAGCCGCATCCTTTTGCATCCTGCTAAGACCCTCCTTAAGTGAGCAGCCACCTGCCCCACATGT